TGAGCTTTTTACCAAGTGTGAAAACAAAACAGGATGTTTCCCAACTGTGAAAGGGAAAAGGCCAAAGATCTGAGTTTGGACTTTGCAAGCAAAAGGGAGAGAAAAAATGGTAGTTCCAGCATGTGCTTGCTAAGCAAAAGCAACTTCACGGTGCTGGGGCAGGGCTGCTTGCTTTATGCTCTGAGGTAACTTGCAGAGAAGTTCAATTCCTAGGGACTGGATTAAACAAACTTCACCATCTCTGACTCTGTATCTTTTACATTTGTACTTCCTACAGCAGGATCCCCTTGGCACCACAGTGTGCACCCAGCAGCACAGCGTGGGCAGTCCATACGTGGCAATTTGCATTGTACTGGCAATCAGCAGCAAACCTGAGCATAACTGGCAAGTTTTTACCCTTGCTGACCTCACCCATGAGCACAGGGAATGCCAGTGAGGGTGGGAGTGATGCTGCAGGAAATCCAAGTTACTAAATATATTAAGAAGCTCTGACTGAAACTTGGGACATATGCCTAATAATTTCAGAAAAGTCGGAGGCAAAAGTTTGATTTGGTCTAAAAACAATTTTCTTGCCCTGGTCCCATGTTAAAGTAATTCTGTATCATATTGCAAAAAAAAACCCAAAACATTCCATTGCTTGCAATCATATAGATGCTGAATTCCAAGGCAAATATCTGCAGTGATAGTCACTGAAATATCTAGTATTGAAATGAACTGGAAAGTGAGCCATTTTCTATATATTTTTTAAAATTAGAAATTTACACTCATTCTTTTCATGTTCATGGTAGCTGATGTAGTCATGGAAGAGTGAAATTGCAGCAATCTCTAAGTCCAATTTTGCATCAGTTGCTTTTCCAGACAAGTTAAATTTATGAGGTTATTATTTTTTCATAACTCATTATAAATTTGGATAAAAGTGGTCTCAGTTAAAACTTCGAGAGCTTTCGGTCTGACAGTGCTCACAGTAAACATCCTTGAGAATGCCAAGAAACAAATCAGCTAAGCCCTGGAAGAGCAAAATTGACATGCCTAGTAATTATAACATAAAAATCAGTAATTTTCATTAAAAAAACCAATCCTTCTTGGTAATTTCTAATGCATTTATATACTGGGCAAACCCAATAAAAACAAAACTATGTATGTACATACTTGAGTTTCTTTTAAATAGTTACCTGATACACTTTGCAGATTGTTTATTGAGAAAAATGCTCCTGTAAGTGAATTCTTTTGAATAGTTGCCCTTGGGAAGCCCTGTGACTGGAATAAACTAAAATAAAACTGGAGAAATCTGGAAGAGGAATAATTTTGCATTTGCCAGAAGATATGCTGGAAAACTATGACTGTTCCTAGTTTATATTTCTGCAAAGTATGTGATCCCAAAATGAGAAAACAGACATACAAGATAAAGAATGTATCCATAAATATCACTTTGGGACAGAATTCTATTTGAAGAAATAATTTCAATATTATTTTAGAGCAATGATGTCTCAAGAAAGGATGTTGTAATCACAGAAATGCCAGTGACGTCCTAGTGAAGAGCCAGGATGGAAAGAGAGGGGTGAATGGCCAGTCATTCATTGTCTCTTCTTCTTCTGCCCTGGAATCAGTCCCACCTCTACCATTAGTTACTAAAGTCACGCTATTGTTCCAAAAAGGAGGTGGTGGCAGGATTCCAGGCTTACACTGCCAAAACCCTATCCAATCCAAATGAGAGATGAAATCGTAGAATTAGTTTTCTTTCCAGCCTGTTTAAAAAAAAAAAAAAAAAAAAAAAAAAAAAAAAAAAAAAAAAAAAAAAAAAAAAGAAAAGAAAGGTTTTGGACAAACAAACCAGCAAAATTAAATTAAACATGTGACTGATAAATGAAGTAGAGGAGAGTGTATGGAGTCAAACTCTGGCTACTATAGCTACTTTAAAGTAGTGTTGGCTTCCATGCACTGTTATTACGCATCCTTTGCTGAAAACTGTACACCCTTCACAATTTTGAACCTCCTGTGTGTTTCCTCATATTTTCAATCAAATTATTACATACTAGAAATATGCATAAGGGAAATTATTCTACACATTTTATGGTGTGCTGTTGCTTGTAGCAGTAATTGAAGTACCTTTTCCACTTATGAAAGTACTAATTTTATTTGGTTTTATTGCTTTTCTAGATGCAATTATTTATTTAGTGTGTTTTGACTTTATTAAATTATGTTTACTATAGGAACATCATAAAAATGTATGAAAGCAACACATCAGCCACTACTGCCCAATGACCTGTTTTGGGGAATCTAGTGTTATTTTTCATATCCAAACATAATAGAATAAACTATGAATAAAGAGATAATCTACACTGGAAAACAATGCAATTTTGAGATAATATAATAAAACACCTGGACAATATGATTTCATAAATCTTAGTTCTAAAACTTACATGAGCTGGGCATTGGGTTGGCTATTTTAGGACATGTGGCATAACATGAAATACAATTAAACAGCAAAGGGGAAAGCATATACAGATTTAGCTTGCCCCTAGCAACTGATTTCTACAGAACAATGAAAATATTTCTGCTTCAAAAGATATACTGGGTCAGTCTTAGGAAATACAAAGTTTCACTCTGGCAGTGACCCAAAGCTTGTTTGTAAAGTTTTATCAGATTCCTTTTTAGGAGGTTTTCACATGCATTTTATCATTCTGTGTTCAGGGTCTGAGATGACACCCATTGAAGTTGGCAGCAAAACTCTCAGTACCTTCAAAGAGAGACTAGATGCTCTGTCATACACTAAGATTAAAGTCTTCAACATGTCCAGCCTCAAATTAGCTCCTGTATTGAGCCTCTGCACTACTACTGAATAGGTGGGCACTTACAGTTTTCAAATCTCAAAAGGGAAATTGAAGATCTCAAGAAAGACAAAACAACTAGAAACAGAGGCTGATATTCTCACTGGCTAGAAAGAAAGGGGAAATATAGACATTAACTAAATATTAAAGCAGGCGACCAAGATTTTTTTCTAACTCTTTAAGCCAAAGCCAGAATAGGACAGATTACTTTCTAAACTTTGTGGTTCAGTTCAGTTCCAACACATGAACAAATAAATAATAAAATAATAAAATAAATGTGTTATTTAATTTCCATTACATACAAGATCAGGCTGTGATCCACAGGAAGCCCTTTTACATCATTACACTGCAGAATTCAACGAAAGCAGGAAATTTGTGTAGTAAGTCAATGGTGAAGCATTTGATAGTGAGATCAAATAGGATGACCCATGCAAGAGGGGGAGGGAGGGAAAACCATGTACCTAATCATATGCAAAATATTACAGTCCTGCAGTGAGCCCTGCAAAGGCCTTTACTCACATGTACAAATCAGCTGAGTTCAACACCACCACTTGTAGCGGTAGCTACATGAAGTATTTCAGGATCAGATCTGCAGAGAAGAAATAAGAATAAATTAATGCTGGAAAAGTGTAAACTCATCCATCCAGAGGGAAACAACCTGAAATCCAGAGTGAGAGCAGTTGTCAAGGCAAAATGAGAATATTCCAGAGCAGTGCAAAAGACAGGAAGCAGGGGAGCACAGGGACGGATTTCAGAGGATATTAGATGTTTATCTTTTTAGACAGAAGACAATATAGTAATTATTCAAACACATTTCAAGGAAACAAGAATCATTTGTTAAATCAGAAAGAAATAAATAACAGTAAATAAAACATGAAGGAAACTCTTGACACTGGAAAATATTGTAAATTTCTTCATTATAATATTTAAGTAATGTATAGAAATTTGGTTTGTGACCTTTGAGTCATTTTTCAGTTTACAACTGACAAAGTCTTTCTTGGTCTTACAGATGCAACCTTTTCTATAAGGTATAGTCTAGTGGCTGCAAAAATGCGCATGGCTGAAATGTTTTTTGTATTGTTTAATTACCCTTTTTAGGCTTAAACTTGAGGACATCAGCTAGAACACAGAACCCAAGGAGATCAAAGAACAGATTCTCCAGTTTTTAACTCACACACAACCTTAGCACTTCATCATTCTCCTGGGAACACAGACTTTAATGTTCTACAGATGAACTGAAATAAATTTAAAGTCCCATGTATAATTGAACAGGAACTTTTGTTTGTTGCTACATTTTCTGGCATAAATTCGGTATGAGCAACCCACTCCCAGCTGATGAGCCAACACACACAAAAGAATACAAGACGAGACTTTCCTCCTCAAAGCCACCTCACTGAGTCTGAATGAAGTCTCTAATAGCAGTAGGCAGCTTCTGTCACCCATGTGAAATTTGTTCAGTAAATTTTCTTGATACCTTTTCTCCTAGCTAAGTTTTATAGTTTTAAGTCTAAAGCTCAACCTGCATCATACATCAGACAGCTTTGGCACTATGGCCTTTCTTCTAGACTCTGAACTCATCTATAGCATGGCAAAAGTGATGAAATCCCATTGGAATGACAGTAACAAAATTCTATCCATTTTTGCTGCCTTCTGCATATTTTTAACATGCTTTTTTGTTCTATTAAGAAGCATAAAGAGAGATATTTAGATGTGCTGTGATTAGAGATGTAACCGGCTCGAGGTTTACAGCTGGGAAGCAAATCTGACATATATATTTCAAATTATGAAATCTGTAATAACTAAAATTTAATTGGGAAATTTAGTATTAAAGAGGCTGAACATCTTGCTAACACACATCTTTCATAGCTGAAATATCTGAATTTTCAAACTGAAGTGTTGTTTGAAAAACAAGGAGAAATTGGAAATTAACCTGAAAATCCTACTACTTCCTATTTTTAATATTATTTTTATTTTATCTTCTATGAACTAACTCTAGTGCAGAGGAAACTGATTAACAGCATAGTGGAATTACCATGTGTGAGAGAAGAAATATAGCCCATTCTATAGAATATTTTGGGCATGGTGTATATTCAGTGTAACAACATTCTAACTGTAACTTCTTGGTTCTGTTTTCTAGCCAAAAATTGCAGAGGAGAATTTAACATACGCTGAACTTGAACTGATGAAGCCGATTCAGGAAGCCAAAGGCATTCCCAGTATGACAGTCTATGCACAGATACTCTTTGAGGAGAACAAGCTGTAATAGTTCATGTCTGTATAAATATCCTTTGTCTGTGTTCTATTTAATTCTTGCTGTGCTGTCTATTTATAAAAATAATGTAAATGTCTGTATTTTTTTATTTCCATTCATGCGCTTCTATTTTTCTATGAGACTTTTGAACAAATCGTAGTTGAAAGTAATCATAGAAAAAGCAGCTGTTCTACAAATGACATCCCAGAGACAGCCTTTGTAGTGTTTGTCACCCCTTTTTTAAATTGACTGAAGTTGCACCTGGGGTATTTTCAATACTAAACTTTATTCCTTTGGTGCTAATGTGATGAGTTCAGTTGCAAACATCAACATCCTAGCAATCTTCAGAAGGACTAGTGGCAGGATCCATGCACATCAACCTGCTTCTGAAGACAAAGACCACTGGCAAGTAAATTTGTCAATTTAATGCTTATTTTTCCATCAGCAAAACATTAACTCAATAAAGCTGAGCCTTTTTTTTTTCCCCCCCTACAGAAAAGGAAAAACTAAAATTACTTTTTCTGCTTTCCCCCTCCCCTTCAGAAATAGTTATAAAAAGGGTTTGTGTTTTATATTATAAAATTCCTTTTCTAAATTACATTGTCTTAAAAAAGTTACTTTTAGTAAAGTACTTCTAAGCCCTTGAAAAAAAAAATAATCCAAAGGAAACATGTGTAGTTAAAACACTTATTATTTGAGGAAGAATAATTATATTTTGGGAATATTTTTCAGCATTTGATCTTTTTTTAAATTCTGTTTGGGAAGAAAAAACTTCATAGTGAGTTAGAACTTATGACTATGGCTTAGAACCAGGACACTGCCTTCAGGCTGCATCAAGACTGCTGCTCCCAAGCCTGCAAAAGTTTTCTTCTTTGGTCTACATTACTGAGCTGCTGATCTAGAGGAAAAATCACACAGCTTTTCCTTTATTATCCTTTATTAATGGAGCAGTCTCTGTTAAGGCCCTGCTCATTTACTTTGGAGTAATTTCTTTGGAAAGACCAAGGTTTAGGAGATAGGGAAAACAGCCTAAGGTGAGAACACAAAATACTTTCTCTTCATATCTTGATAACTGAGGAGGGATTCTTCCTTTTCCTTTGATACATGTTCATAGAAAACTGTGTATGCTATGGCACCCTGGGCCTTTCCATCATGGACAGCTGGATTGATGTTTTCAGCTCCTAAGTCTCCAGTGCCCAGATTCTACAAAAGCTCAGCGAGAATCAGGTGTCCAACATCTTTCAGCCCTTAGGAAGCTTTAGGCCTTGAGTAACTGCAGATTTAATGGAGAAGTAAAAACTTGGCTCTTAAGCTTACCATCAGGCCATGGAGATCTGATACTTGCCATGTCCCAGGTCTCCAGCTCTGGAAGGGAGCCCTTTGACAGACCACTCCTTCAGCAGTAGTTAGTATGGATTTTGGAGTAGTACTTGCAGGCCTTGGGTTTTGAAATCCTAACCAAGGTGATCCAAGTTGCTTCCTGTGTTACAGGTTAGGCCTTTTTAGAGATAAAAGAACTTCTCACCAGGGCTTAGAGCTCAACTGGGAACTATTGCCCCTCATCGAAGCAGGCCAGCTTTTATAAATAGGTTTGCTAATAATTATTTGCATTTTTAATATTTGCATTTGTGAGCTTTCAAGAAAATGTTAGTTTAATAATTTCATTATCCCAGGAGTTCAATCACTCATCAAAACAGCATGGTATCTTTCCTAGTTCTCGGATTGGTTAATGGACTTTCAATAACAATAGCAATCAACTTGCTGACCAAAAAGAAATTAATGCTAAAGAGTGATCTAACATTCAAGGATCAATTTTAGAACAGCCAGAGTTTGACTATTCAGAGAAGTCATCTCTTATGCAGACAGCTATAAGGAAGGCCTTAGAAAAGTATAGAACTTATTAGTGATTTCCTTGGAATTAAAACTAAAACTCTAACACATTAGTGAGTTGACCACTTAGTTGTGAAAACTTCTAAAAGTTTGGTATATAGACATTCCTTTTACATACAACTCATTACATACAACAAGTCATTGTGCCCATTGTTAAAAAAATCCTTTACTGTGTGTTTATGCCCAGTATTTTAATGAATACCATTCTTTGTGTATTAATATTCTATACATTCTTGCTTATGTTTGATATCTAATTCCCTGAAATTATAGTTAATTGAACTAAATAAATTACCTTTTTGTTTTGTTTTTTTTGGTTTGAGACAAGTTCTCTCATTCTGTGTAGGATTTATTGGAGAATGATTCAAGGACATGGTTTTATCTCATACTCAGCATTTAGACAATCTCAATAGGTGGGAATTTAATTTTTCATTCTGCAGAAATTTCTATTATTTTTAAATGGTTTCCATTTGTGACTGACTTCAAATGACAGCAGAATCCTGAAAGGCAAGAGACCAGCTGAGTGAAAGGAGGCTAGGAATACTACTCAGGAGAACACCTGTTTTCCTGAGCAGACATTTCCTATGCATTTTCTTGTGCAATGTCTACTCTAACCAGATTTAATAATGTCAGATCATATAATTGGAGAAAGAATAACATCAGTCTTTACCCTGCAATTAATTGTACATCTTTAAGTGTCAAAGCAACTCACTTGAAATACTCCAGAGGAAAAAAATCCAACTGAGCATACTGTGCTTTAGTAGGAGAAATGCAGAATTAAGTTGGATTCATCTCCTCCTAACAGAAGCTGGAAGGCCAAATTAATCTCTGGCCTAACTCCCACTGCCTTCAGCAGAACAGCAGCAGAGTTCAATGCAGTCCACTGTTCTTTTATGATGGGAGCTCCCATGAAGACTCTTAATAACTTATTAAGCAGTAGTTAGAGTCTGCAGAATCATACTGGTTTTTTACTCCTGTTGTCATTGGTAAAACATGGCCTAGTGCTGAAATTTTACCAAATACAACTCTATTAGCTTCACACCAATTTAGTATCAGATTATTAAATGTTAACGTAGTGTGCCCTATAGCTTTACGAAGAATTAGAGATGTTTACAGCTTTTGTTAAATGCACCTTGTTCCTTCACATTAAATTTTATTACTCGAATCCTCCATCAGCAAATAGGAGTAAATCATATTAGTGTCATGGGCTGTGTGTGGGTTGATTCTGCAGCTCAAGGAAAAGGTGTTTTATTACTCTTTACTACAACTTTCTAAGGTGTAGGTGTGGTCAAAATGCCATTATCTTTGCAATTACAAGCAAATTATTTGTTTTAGAATAGCTGTAACATAATTGTGGGGTTCTCTCAATTAAGAAGTTAAATTGGTCTACTTAGCTGGGGTTTGGCCAGCTTCTGCTGGCACAGAAGGACTTAGACCAGATAAGGCCTCATTTCATGCCCTATTCATAGGTCAAATTCTGCTTTTTGAGGGCTTCTCCAAAACACCTCTGATGAGTAACATCAGGGTGCAGAGATCTTTTTTTGTTTCAGTTTAATCTGACAGGGTAAAATCCTGAGTTCCACTGCGTAGCAATTACTCTTTTCAGTTTCTTGCACTTAGCTGAAACGTACTCACTTTGTTTGCTTTGTTCCACCATCTGGACTTGACTCCATTTTACTACCTTGACTGGAAGGCAGAGGAGATCAAAAGACCACATGTCAGCAGAAGACTGAGTTTGTGTTATTCCTCTCAGGAGGAGGGGTAAAAAAAAAAAAAAAAAAAAAAAAAAAAAAAAAAAAAAAGGGACATGGAACAGATTTTGAGATACCAGCTAGTCCATCACTTGATCTCAAAGCTGGAACAAATTAATCTGACTTAACCTGGTAGAGGTTGGTCTAACCTTTTTTTAGAAACGTAGGGTGATCATGTTCCCTTGTCTTCCCACCATCCATTGCCACAGATGTCGAAATTCACAATGTTTCCAGTATAGGCTGCACCTTCTTGCCTTTTTCCCTATAGACACAGAACATCTCCCTTTCCTCTTAACAGCCTTCTCCACATTTAAGGACTGTTGAAGGGAAGATTGAAAAGAGAATTAACAGCCTCAGTTCTTTCAGGCTTTCCTCTTGTAAAGAACAAATGATTCCCAACATTGCTTCTCTAGAAAAGATTAATAAATTACGTTAGAGAAAACCGGCCTGAAAGTTCAGGGAATGTTAGGTTGGATTCTGAGCTGGCTTTGCAGATCTGAGTTTGAGCACAGCCCACAGAGGAAAATACATTTGCACAAAATGCACCATAGCTCCAACTTGTGAATCTCAAACAACTCCTCTCTCTCCTTGGATGCCCCAGCTCTTCCAGCGAGCTTCACAGCAGTTTCACCTTTCAGCCTTTCCACTCAGAGCCAAATGCTGAAGCAATGGGCTTTGTTGACTGCGTAGCAACAGGTAGGGCAAAAACACTACCTGTCTTAGCACCATATTGTGTTCAATCTCTCCCTCATCAGTCTTGTCGGGCTGTTTGCAAACCCCGTAAGAGGCTGTTCAGTCTTTGACCACCCCGGTCAGAAATCTTTTGGCAGCACTTTTTGAGCCTCCAGCTGAGACTTGCTCAGGTTTTCATTTTAGTACATCACACAGCTAGACACTGCAATGACATTTCTCCCTGCTGTGCAGGACCTGGGACTCTCCTGCATCTCACACCAAGGAAGCAGGAGGTCATATGCACAGAGTCTTCCACCTGGAAACTGCTCATAACCATCTGTGAGGGGATTTTTCAGGCAGCCAGTTAAGCAGCTTTACAAATCTCATTCCCCTGCACTAGTCTTGTGGGAGACAAGTAAGTGGAGAACCGTGACCCAAGTGCTCAGATCAAAGAGGATCAAAAAGATTGACAGCCAGCTGTTAGTATTCTATATGGCACCTCAACTCCTTAAATGGTCCTGCCTTGCAATGGCACTCGGTTCTCACACAAACATGCTCTTCAAATCCCTCAGGCAAAAATAGCTATGCCCACTTCTACCTCTATTTCCTCCTTGCTTGCTCTCAAAGAGCAACCATAGGACAAAAGAGCTCTATCCCACCAGGAAACTAACTCAAAAGCCAAAATTAGTAAATCATTGTGCA